ACTCTGGTCATTACAATCAATTTCCAGAAGATACTGGGTTTTTCCGAAGAGATGGAACATGGAATACTGAGTACGGACGGTTCTTCCTAGAGTGGTACTCTGGGAAGCTACTAGAGCATGGAGATAGAATACTTTTGGCAGCAAAAGGAATATTCCAAGGAACTGGAGCAAAACTATCTGGAAAAATAGCTGGAATTCATTGGCATTACAGAGCAAGGTCTCATGCTGCCGAACTAACTGCAGGATACTACAACACTAGATATCAAGACGGGTACCTGCCTATAGCGAGAATGTTGAGTAAACATGGAGTTGTATTCAACTTCACATGCATGGAAATGAAAGATGGAGAACAACCAGATAGGGCAAACTGCTCTCCTGAAGGCTTGGTTAGGCAAGTAAAGATGGCAACAAGAACAGCAGGAGTAGAACTAGCTGGAGAAAATGCGCTGGAGAGGTATGATGCAGCTGCATATGGACAAGTTTTGGCAACAAGTAAATCAGATTCTGGGAATGGATTGAGTGCATTCACATATTTAAGAATGAACCGAAGGTTGTTTGAAGGGGACAATTGGCGGCACTTGGTAGAATTTGTAAAATGCATGTCAGAAGGAGGCAGAAAAACAAGACTTTCAGAATTGGACTCCACCGGGACAAACCTCTATGTTGGACATATCAGAGAGAAGAATGTCAAGAAAACTAACGAGGCTGCTCTTGTATAGAATCAAATGCAACTCAAATTATAAAACTCAATAGCATAAAGATTCGTGCTTTATTAGAGAGCAAAAGAGCACTATAGTGTATATAAATCACAATTTTGGCATCAAATCCAAACTTGGAATGCTAAAACCCAAAATGTGTCAGAAAAACCGCATTCGTATCTCCATATCATATCATGTACGGGGATGAGTTTTAATCAGCAAATCTTCTTTTAATATAGATCGAACTGTTCGGTTCTTTCATTTGAAGTTGTTTTTGCTGACATACAGAGATTGAAGAAGACATTCATACTTAGAAATAATAGATAACTTTGAAAACAGATTGATACAATCCAGAACACGAACTTATGATCGAAGATGAAGAGCTCTTAGACGTACCGATCAAGAATGCGGAGGAGGAGCTGAAGAAGAGTCGGAATTATTGCTGCGAAGGCTTTCGATCAAGTCGCCGAGCTCTTTGCGAGCAGATTCTCTACCAAACATGAAACCATACCTGATAGAATAATGGAGAAATAAGTGGTTGCGAATCTCTAGAAAGAAAATGAGATGCCGATTCTCGAGAAAGCGGCGGAGAGAGAAAAATTCAATACCAGAAGGATATGCCGGAGAAGACAGCTGCCGTGGCGATTGTTTGAATAAGAGTGAAAGATTTCTCCATTTTTCTTGGAAGCAGAGGAGTTCGTAGCCTGAGCTCTGCAACTGGGGGGAGGGTTTTCCCGAGGTTATATCCCCGATTCAGTCCCTCAACTTTCATTTTTGGACTAAAACTACCCTCAAACTTCAAAAAGTACTAAAAAAATCCTTAAACTTCAATTTTTGGGACCAATTTTGTCCTTCCGTCAGTTAATTGCTGACGTGGTAAAATTTTCGGTTAACAAATTCAATTTTTATTAATATTAAATATTACGTGGAAATAAAATAACTGATGTGGTATTTTTAATTATAAAATTATTGTGATTTGACACAAAAATATAATTTAATAAATAAAAATTTCTTTTCTTTTCTTTTTTTTCTTTCCTTTTCTTTTTTTCTCTCCTTCTCTTTCCTTTTCTCCTTCCCCTCCCTACTGGGTTCGAAGGAACCCAGCACCAACGCCTAGGTTCCTTGAACCCAGGCGCGGGTCAAGGAACCAAGGCACGGGTTCCTCTGAACCTAGGACGCTTGGGTTCGAGGAACCCAGGCCTAGGTTCCTTCGAACCCAGGCGCGGGTC